CATTTTAGTATCATAAAATCTTCCTTTCTATTCGGAAACGTTAATTTCGAGGGAACAAATGTTCATGTTTCCCTCGTAAAAAAGGACAATACTTGAAAAGTATACTAATTACTCTAACAAGAATAACGCCAGACTAGGATCAGTCACGTTGAGCTAAAGCTGCTTTAGAAGCTCTAATGGCACTTGCATTCATAGGGATGTATCATGAGAGTGGTAATCACGTAAGATCAAAGGCGCGAACATGATTAAGATTTTACAAGAGACGATGCTATTATCATTAGTCAAATATCCGTGTTCCCGATTTACGCATTCGATACTTCATTTAGAACTAATATTCTTTTCAGACGATATGGTTTCCTAACGAGGCTTATGATAACAGCACAGTCATTAGGCACCATGAAGTAGACTGCCGCAGCTGGACTGATACGAAGGTTAATGGTAACTTCCAGAATAATTCATTCAGACAGTAATTTGATCTCTACTGGTACTTGTATGGTTTGCATTCATCCTATGTCTAAAATATTAATTATTTGCAGCAAAGGATTATTTTGCCCTGGTAATCAAGAAGGAAGTGAAACATACTAACAGGAAAGCAAAACAGCTACACATTATTTATGATTTTATTTGTAGTAACGTTCCCTGGGATTCATAGAGGTGCATCATGTATTTAAAGGCGGAATCCACTCCTATGCTAAGAATCCCATTTGGTCGGCCCACGTAGCGGGTTTTTCTCCACATTTTGCAACAACGTTGCCAGACTGCAGACAGTGTTAAAACGTATGGTATCAGCTCCCTAGATTCTGTTTTGGTCATATTGAAACTCCTATTGAAATACTCCTGCTCAGGACAAGAAGTTATATTTATTCAAGAGCCTGGAAAAAAACATTATTTTAATCTAAAGCTGATTTATTTCTTTAGAACAAAATAGTGATTTTTCAGGCAAACATTGGTGCAAAATATGAAAAGAAATCGCTGTGTGGGCCACCTTTGTTTTATTGTTTACCGATATGTGTTCGAAAAAAGGTTTTGTTGAATTTTCGTGTTTCTCTTTTCGATATTTTTTTTGGTATCGAATTCGAGGTTGATATTGTTTATTTCATTCAAATTTGACTCTATTATTCAGTTTATTACGTTATTTTAGGTAAAATACTTAAAAAAAACATAAATATAAATAACAATTATAACTCGTGAATTAATAAGTGATATATAAACAAAGTAGTAATAACGACAGACACAAAAAGGAATCTATCAAATTTGCAAGGCAATCCGCCCCATTTCGCGACCAAAATGTGGAATATGCTGATATTATCGCATATCCCTTCGGTTGGCTTGTGACCAAAGGCTTTTGATAGTAAAGAAAGAATCTTGAAGACGAGAATTTAACTGAATTAATAGAAAAAATATATATATAGATTGTGTTTAACCCAAATATATATATATATATTACATATGTCATAGATTTAAAAAGTCTTAACCAGCGCCACACACCGTACCACACCCAGGGGAATCATGTTATATATATAGTTGTAAACAACGACCAGACGTTTGACAGATCGTTCATTATTGACCATCTTGTTTACACAATATCGATTTTCGATGTGATATCTCCTTCAACCTTTGAACTGTTTAGTGTACATGTACACCTAAGTGTTGACTTATATTGGACGTATTTCGCCCCGTAGTTGAATGTTCACGCTTTAAGTTGGTAGGTATACGTACAACAGTAATTATATATCTCACTACCTGTAATTTCGTTCCAAGTTCTTATATTTATTAAGTAGGCCTGTGAAACTTTACAATGTAGGTCTGTTTCTGTTTCTATGATACTAGAAGACAGGTGCTACTTAATTATAAATACATAAAACAAGTGTACACCATCAATAATCACGTAAAGTATGTATATACCTAATTTCATGTACTCAGAAAGATAAACTTAAGTTCTATGGCACAAATTATTACTATTTAATATTTTTCTGAAAATTGAAGCATGGTTTGTTACTAATCAAATGACATTCTGAATTCAGTCAACGGCTAGTTTCTCGTACACTTGTAAATACACATTTCTAGGAACAAAAAGAAACACTATATGCATAATTATAAATGATTTATAATAAGTAAGGTTCATCTTGTATGGCAAAGCATCGACAATTATCAAAATCTATTTTCGAAGGAAACATCACGAGTCGTTTGATATAGCTTTCCTTACAATACAGAGCTTCATCGTTTGTCTTGAAATAGGTTACACGTTAACCGCATTACACTTTAGCCCAACTTACAAAGTTGTACTTTTGATATAATGTGACATATATATTGCGAATATGGATACACTTTATATTTATATATTACTTATATAAATATATTTTCCAGTTATTGAGAAGTTTCTTGGGTTGAAACAAACCCTGCTGTGTGATATTTTCATTTCACAATATTTTATTGTAATGATCTTATGTACAAAAGTTATTGGGCAACAAGCATAGCCTATATAAGCCCTCTCCTTACAAAACATAACAGTATATACATATCATATAAACGGTACTTTTACATATATTTCTTAAAGTAATAAAATAAGAGATTGTTTGTACTTTGATATTGATTGGACAATACTTATTTTAATTATCGCAATTGTTGTTAAAGAGATTATTTGACAATACTATTTGAGAATCTAATTAAAACTTCTGGTCTATCTTAAGTAATTCTAAACCGTCTCCACAATATTTTTATTCATATTTACGTATTTTGATTGAAAACCATAAATAAAAGTTTGAATATTGAATGGAACAGCATCACACATCACTGTGTGATATTAGTAATAGATTATGTCACCCCTGTGTGAAGTAGACAGAAAAATCTGAAACCGATGGTAACATTTTTAAGTTTAGAACGGGGTTTTGCCGAGTGTTAATCTTTACCCAATCTTATCCCGATGTTTTAGATATAAATTTGTTCACTCCACACGTGGTTTATTTATTGTTTTTTTCTTTCTCAAACGTGCTGTTCTACCTTAAGAATAGGTTGAAATGGTGAAACCAATGCACCGCGCGATCATGTCGTAAAATTGATGAATCTACCATAGTTACACTACATGGAGTGATGTCATTTACAGAACTATACCACGTGTGAGCTATTTCTCCCTAGGTATTAAAAGACAGGTTTATCATTTCCTGTGGGAGAACTCCTGATCTACTAGGTGATCGAACAGGGGACTCTCGACTGCAATCATACTATAAAAATGTCCATGTTTTTTTAACTAATTTTCAGGATACAGAGCAAAAATTCCCCATAGGATCTACGCGACCAGATAGTGCGGATTCAAAAGTTCTACTCAGCATATACCATTTAACAAATGAGGACGAATACGTCACAAATACCACCCACAATACCCTCCAAACAGGTTATATATATTATTTTATGCAGCTGCTTCATCATTTTAATAAACATACACTTCCCCTTGATTATTTGTACTTATCAAGGTTCCTGTTTGTTAAATATGTAAACATACCTTTGAACATAAAATCATAAAAAGTAAGACGGTTTGTTAAAATCTATCCATCTTACTAAAGGGTTTTTTAAAGATATTTTCTTAGATTTGTTCGATAGCAACGCTAGTAAATCTGCATATCTTTATCAAAGCATCGTCGATTAAACCTTTATGCCTTTAGTTTTGAAGGTATTTTGTATTGTTTGTTACTTTTACCAGCCACAGCCATTTTTGTTTCGCTTTATGCATATGTATTTAGACGAAGGTCGCCGACATCATGTATGTTATTCCATTTATAATGTACTTTTGCAAGAAGGTGGGTATTGTTCATATCAAAAGGTCATCCGATTATACTCAAACAACACCTGACAATCCTGGTTTCGTTTGAAACGTATTTCATATTCATATAGAAAAGAAGTCCTCTTTTCGAAGACACAAATGGACCATACAGAACCTACTAACTCATTATTAAAGTCAACTTGAAACGAAACCCAAATATTTATTTCCAAACAAAACGTACCTAAATGTATTTACACTAGAAAAACGAACGACTTAGCAAATACTTTTAATGGCTTAAATATAGATATTCCTTTTTATCTGTGTTGTGTGTTTGTGTTATGAAGCAGGCACAACTGTCCTTACAGTCGACATCAACGATTTTTTCTGAATGGTAGTGACTTCTTCAACCCATTTTACATTGTATTACAAATGGAATGCGAGTAACACCTTAACGTTATACTCCACTATACATTGATACATAGATCTACCTGGAAACATGGTATGTTTTAGAAGACACTTTCAGTATGTATCAGCATTTATATATCAAATCCCTATTGTAAAACGTATGATTAACTTAATGTGAAATTAAAGAAATTTCAAAATGGTCTTTTCAAGAAGTGCGTCAAAATTGACATTTGTTTGATATTTTTACTTCAGAAGATAACAATCAAAATATGCATCCATGTAAAAACAGATTTAGTTATAAATTTCATTTTTTTCTAAAATTATATTCATATTTTTTTCATAAAGCTACAATGTCAGTTATTTTAAGCTGAGTTTGCTTGAACATGTTTGTACTCCAATTTCGGAAGAATTTCTAATATAACTTAAAAAAAGGTATGAGGATTTTGAATTATCATTTAAAAACAAAATACAACAAAAATGATTGAGATTAAAAAATGAAATCATATGAGAATTAGAAATGAGGACTAGATTAAAATGTATCAAACATCGCCAATACCTCCAATAAATCATGTCAACTTCTCACTTAAGTTGTGTAATACTCACCCAGAATTCATGAAGTTGCCTCAAGGTTCAATGATACACCAACGTTTGTGAACCTGAAACGAAAATAAGTGTACTTAGAAAAATGTCATTAAAGTCATTTAATATATATATCACAAAGATATACTGGGGAAAATATTTATTTGTGACGTCACAATACAAACACGTGTCATAAGTGTGACGTTTACTAGCCGACATGCTTAACTATATAGCCAACTATAATATTGTTGTGGCCGACATGACGGAAAACCTGTTCACAGTTAATCTACATGTTTTGCTGGGTTTGACAGGGAATATCGTGACGAGTAGCGTATGCGGTATAGAAAACCGTTCGGAATATCTGATGCCGCCTTTCCTTGTGTTTTAATGTCGCTTTGACATGTTATTACTTCGACATTTGGTCCCGATTTAGTTTTTGCGCATCTTTTTCACTTCAATAAATAAGTAGCTTAAAAAAAACATAGGTTCTCTCTCTAAATAAACAACGCGTAATGATCATGAGGCTTTTTTGCGGATTCCTTGTAAATCCTGCTAAATAACCTTATGTTTTCTAATTTTCCTTAGCAACAATGCCATAACTTAAACAGTCAATCTGGTAAATATGGTAATCCGTTACTCTAGCTGCAACCCTTTCATATTGATGGCAACATTTACAGACCCATAATGTTGATTGCGGAAATCGTATCCATCGAAGCTGCCCTAAGTTGTTAACATCGTGCGCCCCCAAAGCTAATGTCCTCGACCGTCAAGTGCTTTGACCTTAAAATGGCGACTTAATCGGAAATCGGGCTGTTTTTATTGTACAGTTATCGGAAAAGCATCTGATTTGTCATGAAATAAAGAAGAATATTATCAGCCATTAAAAAAAATACTCTGAGGAAGGCAATACAAAGGCAAATAACCTAACATTATATTTATAGGTGTTGGCCTTTTAACAACATAAAGATATTGGTTTATCTAGCTAAGGTTTCTGTTTTGCAGGTGTGTTTATTGAATAGAATATTCTAATATCCAAATAGGTGCGAACATTGTATATCTTTTCTTTCAATTATAAGGACATATTATTGCTGTATACGACAATATTATGACAAGAGAATAACAGAATCTCCAAGCTTTACCGGACTAATCGATACAGCTGACATGTATAGCCAAATTAACCCTGTCATACCCGCTGGTTTATCTGACGTGCTGACAGGTCATTAAAAGTCCGAGCTTAACCTTTGTTAGAATAGGCAACCTCTTATCCCCTTACATATGAGTTTACAATATCATGTCACTATTGTATCTAACCTGACAGTGTATTTATAGTGAGTTGATTTTTATTTGATATCAACTTTTAAAAAATGGAGAAAAAAAAGATTTCTATTTATCGAGTTATATCTTATTTCACACTTCTGTATATGTACATGCATGTTCGAATTGTGTTAAGCAGTCCTTAAAGATATGATCCTGGGATTTCGTTTTACGAAACGTTATAATAAGGATTTTCTTTGATCTGAATTATTCATTTGGGAAACATCGCTTGGGTAAAGCATTTTATTATTCAATGAGTACACATGCTATGTCATATAATTATGACAGTTGTTAACTACAATCTTTTCGCTATTGGTGAACTTTCATTTACTTAGTAGTAACATTCAAGCCTTCCCTGCTTATGAAGTTTACTCTTCACTGTTGATCTGCCACCTCACGATCTTACGTTTCATGATATTTTACTTATATTTTCCTCTAATTCACTCTTGACTACTTAGACTGGGATTCTTACACAGATGATTAACATGGTGGTAAACTGGCAATACCTGTTTACGCTTACATTAGGTATATTACTGTGGAAGAAAGTGTCTTATAATACAGTTTAACAACAAATAAGACAAACTGAGAACTTACTGTCCTTATCTTTTGTGGTTTTATTATTTCCCTTTTACGCCAAGGCTATGACTATTTAAGATATGATTGATTTTACCTTAAGTTATTCCACGCAATATAAATAAAAAATGAATAATGGAATGGCGACTTGTACTTTTAGTAAAAACGTATTTGATTGAAACCTGTATGTAAGGTACGTGTTTTGTTTGCCGTACAATCAATGATATCTGCCCTCTAAAGAACAATGGGGTTTTCTCAAACAACCCTATTGTACTGGTTGTTAGGTCGGCCCCAATCGATGATAGCCCCTCTTGACACAAATAGGTGGATTAGATATTTTATCCCTCTGAGTGACATGTGAGTTTTGATGGAATTAAACGTTATTACCTCCTCTTGTTTTATCGATAAGATAATTGTTGTGCAGACCTCGTTTTCACATTTTTGGGTTTTGACGAGGCCCAGGTAAACTGGTTGGATCAATAATGCGTCCACGGCAATATGCATTATAAAAAATAGGTTAGTTATAACATTTATTTTGATACGCTTCTTTCAGAAAACGTTAACGAATTTACTTTGTCGATGAAATTATGATTTGCAAGAATATGGGAACGTCTTTAGTCAACTTAAATAATTAAAATAATTTATAATAGGAAATAATCACACGATATATGTTGTTATCATTAAAGAGTACAATAGAATTACTGCGTCGTCAACAGGCAAAAAGTTACTCATCTGAAGCGAAAAACAACATGAAAAGCCTTCATGTAAAGAGGACAGAGAAGGAACGATACCTTGGACAGGGGAGAGAGAAGAAAAGATACCTTGTACAGGGGAGACAGAAGGAAATATACCATGGACAGGGGAGACAGAAGGAAATATACCTTGGACAGGGGAGACAGACAAAAAATACATTGAACATAGGGGACAGAAGATAAGATACCTTGTACAGCGGAGACAGAAGGAAATATACATTGAACAGGGGAGACAGAAGATAGGATACCTTGTACAGGGGAGACAGAAGGACAGATAACTTGTACAAGGGGGACAGAACATAAGATACCTTGAACAGGGGAGGAAAAGGGAAAGATACATTGAACAGGGGGGACAGAAGGAAATATACTTTGAACATGGGAGAGGGAGGAAAGATAACTTGTACAGGGAAGGCAGAAGAAAGGATATCTTGTACAAAAAAGAAAGGGGAAAAAATCTACCTTGAACAGAGGAGACGGTTGATAAAATACCTCCACAGATGAATACACGATTTGAATAGAAGAGACTGGTAGAACGAAAAATATCCCGAATAAAGGAGACAGACAGAAAGACCTAAAGAACAGAGGAGATAGACGGAAAGACCTAACGAACAGAGGAGACAGACGGAAAGACCTAAAGGACAGAGAGGACAGAAGGAAAGACTTGACGAACAGAGGAGACAGACGGAAAGACCTAACGAACAAAGGAGACAGACGGAAAGACCTAAAGAACAGAGGAGACAGACGGAAAGACCTAAAGAACAGAGGAGACAGACGGAAAGACCTAAAGAACAGAGGAGACAGACGGAAAGACCTAAAGAACAGAGGAGACAGACGGAAAGACCTAAAGAACAGAGGAGACAGACGGAAAGACCTAAAGAACAGAGGAGACAGACGGAAAGACCTAAAGAACAGAGGAGACAGACGGAAAGACCTAAAGAACAGAGGAGACAGACGGAAAGACCTAAAGAACAGAGGAGACAGACGGAAAGACCTAAAGAACAGAGGAGACAGACGGAAAGACCTAAAGAACAGAGGAGACAGACGGAAAGACCTAAAGAACAGAGGAGACAGACGGAAAGACCTAAAGAACAGAGAAACCAGAGGGAAAGACCTAAAAAAACAAAGGAGACAGACGGAAAGACCTAAAGAACAGAGGAGACAGACGGAGAGACCTAAAGAACAGAGGAGACAGACGGAAAGACCTAAAGAACAGAGGAACCAGAGGGAAAGACCTAACGAACAGAGGAGACAGACGAAATGACCTGAAGAACAGAGGAGACAGACGGAAAGATCTAACGAACAGAGGACACAGACGGAAAGACCTAAAGAAAAGAGGAGACAGAAGGAAAGTGACTAGTGAGCCCCTCTCCTACACACCCGACCCGACCCCGTCCATCCCACAATATACCGATAGTGGGTTCAGATGATCCCTAGAGTCGTTTTGGGCGATGTCTTAAAACATAACATTCGTCTGGTATAAATATATAACCCTATATCTTGTGGAATTTACATTAGAAATAAATTATGTCTTTGGAAAAGGTCGATTTTAGTTCTGATAACATTTTTTGACAAGGGCAATGTATTTGACAAATAATAAGGAAACTTTGTTTTAGCCTTTTACAAAAGTGTGTTCGTACTCTCAGGTCTAATATCAAATACAACATATGTATACTTAGTATTGTATAATACCCTAATTAGAAATTCGATTTAGGACAGGGATAGGAACGAAGGAGACATACAAATGAATTGAACAGTTTTTAGTGTATAAAAATACATATAGCATGGGGTCGAAGATAATATAAAAACATGACACAAGGTCGTTATTAAAATGTTTATGTAGTATTGGTGCATGTAACTATCGTGGGAGACATGGTACGGACGAGTGTTGCATGGTTATTACAGGCGGTATTGTAACGGTAATCAGACCAATTACCGATCATTACCTGTCTGTGGGTATCACTCTAGTAGTGTTCGGTGTGTACAGTAATAACTAGACCGTACACATGTTGTAGATAATTGGTGTCTCCTTCTTCACATTTAACATATAATACTCGTCTGGGCAATGTTTAAATGCTATGCTAGGTAAAACGAAAACACAAGAAAAACACTACACTTTCATCTCATCTGGAATATACCTTCGTAAATATTACAAACCCAACGATGCGTTTTCATCTTTTTAAAATGTTAGCATCTGTCGCCTTCGACTTTGTAAAATCTATATATATGTATTAGTCCCATTACAAGAGTATGTTTAGACGGACAACGTAGATGTTTGCAGTCTAGTGTCACGAAACATGTCAGAAGTGGGGATCGATTACATTTACAGTTATGAAGGAATTTTCAGAGAACGTGTTTTCTGCTATTTACAATGATCCAACAATCTGGTTGGAGTGTTGTATGGTCTGGGGTGGGAGCTACAGTATCGCTGTTGATGCATTCGAGTGAGGATGCACGATGAACAAAGATGCCGTTAGAAACACGATCCAAACGAAAACAAACAGAAGAATATAATGTCCAGCACGCATGCAGACATACAGTCATTTGGAGGTATTATTAATCATGAACAAGGAGAAAGGCAAAACCAGGGTCTGTATTCATCAGACCGCACTCATGCTCCAAATGAATTGGTACTTTTGTTAGTAGTTACCCTTAAAATATCACATTGACAAGAAGACAGTGTTATGAAGAAGGGCTAAGTGCTCCCAAACAGATAGTCAGACATGCATCTTAGAGTATTCATCACCAAGTCTTTGCCAATTCTGGCAAAGTATGTAAATATGTTACATTATCGTCTTATTTTACACTATATTTAAGTATCGTCTCGTAGAGGCGTCAACAGGAATAAAGTTAAATATAGCAAACACGAAATGCTCCTGATCATGGACAAATAGAAATTGTTCAGTTTTATGGGGTTATGTTATGTGTTAGTGACTAAGCGTCCATTATTGTAAGCTATAAACCGTGTATAATGCTCGCTGCAGTGCCTAGTTTACATTTATTCTTCGCGTTGATATCAAATGAGGTTTTTTTTCTACAAAGTATCACATTGATAGTGTTTGGGTGATTATTTTCACATTATTTTTTTTTCTTCTAGATTTGATAGCAATAAAATTGTTATTGCTTGAAACGTTAAATAGTCATATGTTTTGTCGTTTGTAAATGGGGAAACATCGTGTTTATCTATTTATCTATTCCTAGTGAAACTATCGTACAGCGAAGTCTGAAGTATTATCATATTTAATTTATAATGCGTCAATATGTAATTTACTTTATTTACTCTGAATTAATTTAATTTATATATGAGTAAGAAATCATAGGTTTCCTGCCATCCCAGATGAAAAATAGTTGAAAACGTATTTAGCATTAGTTATTCATTTGATTTAAATTATTAAATCATAAAATTGGAATTAAAATGATTTCACAACACAGTACTGAAGTTAATGCTACCTTAAGCATTGGTATCTTTGTACTTAACAACTTTGCGATAAATTGAATAGATCTACCGGTACTCAGTGCCATTCAATAAGACTCAACCTAGCTCTACTGATAATGATAGTTGAGGAATTCGTTTAAAATGTCGCCATTGGTTATTTTCTTTATACAGCTTAGACGCACGCACCGTATATGTGATTATCACCAATTATAATCTTCATAATATACACAAAGCTTAGGGATTGAATTTCATTTAATAAATAGCAAACATGCCCACAAACTTGATGAAAGGCCAATACCGTGATGTTATGTCATTGAAATGTGTTTTACATCCTTCTTCCTGGTATCGAAATACAGTGTTTGTTTGCCAATCCTTGTTTTTTATGAATTTTTAGCTGTTGTTAAATATCAACCTATAATTGTCACGTGGCTTAACTTACCATCACAATGGTTCATGACTGAATTGACTGAATCAAACTATTGTTATATTTCCAAGAATTTGTTAACTTTTTTTATTTTTTATTCCGCAGTTTGTTAAAATCTGACAGCTGAAGGTACTTCTTTGTCATTGTACCTGTTAATTTCATAAAAAAAATATCGTTTGAAGCTGTATAGGTATAATGATTTTTCTCTCTCTCTTTGCATATTTCCCGAAACTATTTATAATGACCTTTTAATGACTCTATTATAAAACACTTGCTTTACTGTAAAACACCTAATTAACTTTAACACCTACTTCAATAAAAGTGTATAAAACACCTAATTCTCAGCAAATCACTTCAAGTACGATAAATCCCTTATTTTTTGCGAGTATTTATTTTTGCGAAAAATTATATACAACATTTTGATATAGCGCCCTATCTAGCTAACATAAGCAACTTTAAAGCGTTTTGCTGTACATAGAAATACAGTTTATACAATAAGCATATACATTAATCAATATCTTTTTGAGAAATTCATAAAATAATAAGTGACTTATTCGCAAGAAATTTTAATTTATGAACATCACATATGAACAGAAAGTTTTTTTTGTTTTTTCTTTTAAAATGTTTCTGAATAAACAATCCCAGAATATTTGAATTCGCGATGTTCGAAAAACAGACACTTCCCGAATATAGGTGATTTTCGTATGTTATTTTGTGACATAATACGAAACCGAAGTATTTTTGACTTCCTGTAGGATGTATTCCAGGTGTTATAGTATATATATATCGTCTTTTGAGTTGCCATACATATACATAATAATATACATAACAACGGTTAACGGACAAATTCCAATAACCAAGGTTTATGAATAAATATTGGCGGTGTAATGATGTTCTTAGCAAACCTCTATATATGTAAACAAGGCCGATATGTCATTGCAAAGTCTTTAATGTGTATCACACGACAAACTAACAGGTATTTCGACGATTTAGAGCATCCCAAAGGTATTATGATTCACCGTAATCAACAATGAATCATGGTAGTTTATTTGAATCTCGCCTGGACATCAAAGCTCATCCCGTCAGGAAATCACCAAAGTCACGCTAGCGCTGTCTTTGATTTCTGCAATGATGGTATGCCTATTGCGGCGTTGTCGGAGTGAGAAAATTAATCTAAATATATCAGATAACAACGTCTTCTTCACGACAATTGTCTGCTTTCTACTTTTACCTTATGATGAAGCTGGTATGCAGTATAATACTACTGTTAATAATTAACTTTGGACGTTGTCATGTCACATGAAATAATATGATTTCCTCATGAATTCGCGGGCGAGGAAGTTACTGTTAGTGATTATCTAGCGTTTGATCTGTCAGATTATTCACTTAATTTGCAAGTTTATGCAAATTTTGTCAATAAGTTTAGGCAACATTCATAACTTGATCTTATACAGATTACTTTTAAAAATATGTCCCTGTTCCATTACACTGTGTTTTTTGTCTCGCCACCAGTAGCGGAAGCGGAAACTAAGGTATTGCTTTTCCAGCGACGGCAGCGTCAACATTAAGTTTTTTGCGTTTAAGTTAGTTTCACTAAAAGTATAAGTACTACACCAACCAAACCTGCAACATAGATGCATCTTAGATAGTACATCTCAACCCTATGCGCATCAAATGCTGGATACGGCCTAACTTTCATGGTCCATTGACTTTGTCAGCCTCTCCATCTACATTAAGTTTTTGCGTTTACGTTAGTTTCTCTGAAACTTTAAGTGCAAGACCAACCAAACTTGACATTGCATTGATGGTCAAAGCAGGGCACAGGCGAGACATATCAATCCTAATGGCTTGTTATATATAAAGTAACCTCCCTTTAACTTCGTTCTAGATATAGCTGTAAGACAGATGAGCCAGACTATTTTTGATGACCAGGAAGGATTGTCCGTTAGACCGTTAGTATATAACGATTGAATCATTGTCTAGCCCCGTTGACTATTGTTTTCACTCAGAACACTTGTTGATTCTATTTCATTAACTTCAAATCTCATAAACGTCCTGCAAGCTATGGTTTTCTATTCATAAATGATTGATCAAAATTATAATCATAGTTTCTAATGCGTCTGACAGTGTGTCGGGAATCCTTAATATATTCTAAGTTACATCTATAGCTATGATAAACCGGAAGTAGTACAGGGAAATAATGACATTTTACATAAAATTCTCGGTGTTTTTAATAATGGTGTGCATCGTGCATTCACAGTAAATAAAACTTAAGTAAGCTTGTTTATGTTAACGAACATTTTATTTGGCAGTAAACCTGATATAGTATGTTGTTGTTTCTTCGACATAGGGAAACATAAATTTTAACAGTGTGATCACTCCTTCTCATGGGTAAAAATCATAA